TTGCATTATGTATGTTTAAATATATATAGATACGAGCGTAACAATAAAGTATATATAATCCCAATCCTATACAGCAAACTCCTATCCGGGAGGGGGGTTGGATGGCCGAATGGTTAGCACGTGCGCGCTGTATCATAAGGCCTGTCATTGAGTCAACTGGTGTGGTTTCGAATCCCCGGTTGTACGTGAGTAGGATCGCCTGTCCAACTTCGTTGGTTTTCTCCGGATCCCACGGTTTCCTCCTACTGCTAAAGACCCCTACGCGCAAGCGAATTATTGAAATAAAATTTAAAACCATGTTAGTCCCGAAATGACCTAGTTTGTGTCGAGTGGACGTTAAACCCCATTTCTCTCTCTCTCTCTCTCTCTCTGTCTCCCTCCCTATCCGGGAATTGTTTTTACGCCACTTTTAAAGGACAATAATGGTGTCAGTCATTATCACATCAATATCTTTTCGTTTTCTCTCTTCTAGTTACAGTCAATTTCTGTTTTGAATTGTCAGATATCCTCTTACAGTCTCACATTACAACTTTTGGTCTTCGGAGGAATTATTAGTGGACAGGAATTCGCCCGTGTATTTGTTATCACTCGTCACTTCAGTCAGTTATACAGATGGATAACTCGTGTTTTCCTTTTGTGTTTGCCACTTCCTTTTATAGAAACCTTGATTACGCATCTATATTAGCAATGATATCTGTGTTAAAATTATATTTGGAACGTGTTTAACGAGTTCTATCACATATGTGATAATGACTGACAGCAATATTGTCCTTTAATAATACATTATTGCGCTACAGTTATTCAGTATGCACGGAAATGAGTGATCGATATTTTTTTACACCGCAGTTTAAAATATTTTAAAATTCCACCTGCAAGTTTGAAGTCAACACGTTCGACAATCGAAGCTAATCTAACAGACGATCTTAATGTCACGGATCAAACGAGAGTAGACTGTTGACTAGTTCGAACCGTGGAAATCTAAAGGGTAATTAGTTGATATTTGATTTGCTTTTAGCGTGGGCGTGATGTCTATTGACAAAATACGCACTCGATATCTTGTACTCTTTCAAAAGTAGACTATTCAAAAGTTTTTAACGATTTCTTGCTGGTATGGTTCAATGGGATATAATCGTTCAGGAAATGAACTTTTAAAGATAGGCTACACTGAATCATATGATGGATGTCCGGCTTTGTTATTCAGGTTGGACCAGAAAAGTAGTAGAGTTTCGAATGATAGATTGAATCGTTCTGAATTGGCAGAAATACAATCAATCACGTGACACACAATTCATTCCTGTCACCGTTCTGTCAGTCCAGACAAATGACGTAGTGTGTGTACAATCGTGACGTACATTAAACACGACGAATTCGTTTCAACTTTCGTGATCCACTTTTCGCTTTATTGTCGCTCGGGATTTAGAGAGTTCATTCGAAAAAACAATTTAAACAAGCCATGATGGGCCTATAATTACCACTTGGTGGGCCTATAATTATCACCTTGTGGGCCTACAATTACCACCTGATGGGCCTATAATTACCACCTGATGGGCCTTTTATTAACCTGATGGGCCTATAATTACAACCTGATATGCCTTTTATTAACCCAATCGAATTAAAGTCGAGTCATTATCTACCGTTGATATTTTAATTTGTTTATTTATTTAATTTGTTTATTGAAAATTTCATTCAAATTACTTTATTTTGAGCGAAGTTGTCAATAGTCGTAATCTTGACAAGATGTGTGCATTGATAGTAATCACATTTTTTAAATTAAATCATTAAATAGCCGAACCGTTCTAATCTATTTAAAACCGAAGCAATCCGATGGCATCGAGAGTTGATTATGGTCTTGTGATATTAATAAATATCTAATTATTAATTTATATAACATTTAAAGACCCAAAGAAAGGCCTGCAACAGGCAGACTTAGCTCTTGTATAATACATGTTTAAGCAGTGAAAATTAGATATTGGTTAAACTTTAAAGCAACTCAATATCATCCAAATTCTTCAACATTGAAACACGAATTATTTGTCAATTTAAATCAACATTGATGTTGTGATCTTACCGAGAAAGGTGGGCTTCTGATATCCAATATTCAAGACAAAATAACCATTTAACCATTGGTACACGAATCGTGTACCATAATGCTTTTCAGCGTCATTTGTAACAAGGAACTCGAAAAAAGAGGCTAGGCATATTCCACAAATCATGTCAAATGATGACGTCGTATTCTTATTTGGAGAACATGCGCAATAAATACTATCGGTGTAGACTGAAATAACAAGACGCTAGAGATTGCCATTCGATCGAGACTTCTGGCGTATTTCGCTAAATATAACTGATTAGAAATTAGAGTAAAAACAGAAACGATTGAATGTAAATCAGTTTATATACATGCATATTACATTATTATATGCGTTGCGACCCATTTGTGTCAATTTCTAGGTCTCAAATATTAGCGACTTAGCTCCTTTAAACAATAAATTAATACGGTGCACGTGTTTGTATATCTGTGGCGGGATAATTCGATTAAAATCAGCGATAAATTTCGTCCTGGAGAACGCTATATCGGAAAGGGTCCTGCACATATGTGGGTTAGGGTTACCGCTAGCCCTGTTTATATCTCGAGACTTTGACGAAATCTGTAGGTCCTAACCCTAACTCACATATGACGCCATATGTACTAAAATGTGCGGGACCGTCTCCGATCTACCGTTCTCCGATGTCAGCCCTCTCGGTCCGAAAATAAGAACGAAACGAAATTGTAATGTATTTGTGAGGTGTGCTGGTGGAAGGACCTATACTTCCTAATAAAGGTTGCATAATCAAAGAAAGTTTCATTAACACTCTAAGTACTTGTACGTATTTATACACACGCATCGATTTAATCCAATTTAATTCAACATACAGCTTTAACGCCATTTAGAGGTTTATTGCATGTCGGCCATTTTGATTAATTTCTTTTCACGCACCAGCTAATCTTTTTGCTCTCGTGGTATTTTCATTGTTTGTCTCTTGTGCATATGTTTGCATGTTTGTTATGTCTACTCGAAGCTAAGGTGATGTTAGTATAAATACCTACTTGTCAGTGACGTGCAGAGGGGGTGATGGCACAGACCATCCATTTTAGAAGATAATCCAATTAAAAGGTTTTACAAGTAAGCTGTCCTGTTTGAATGGTTTGGTGGTCCCTCATCCCCCCTTGTCAGTGATGCAGGACGGAGGGCCTGACAAGGACAACCGAGGTCCTGTGTACACATTGGCGTGCACATAAAAGATACCTTGACAGTTAGAATTCGATATAAGAATAGGCCGTAGTGCCGCTGTCCGGGCAAAATTTCCCCCATAGCACACTGTATGGCGTATGCCCGTCTTCATTGGCCCAGTTCGGAGCAGAACAGTAGGACGTTAAAGCCCAATTCATTTCATTTCCTACACTTGAGTATTGGGAGGGGGGGGGGGGGGCTAGCATATAATTAATTAATCACCAATGCGAAACTTGAATCTAATCAAAACTAATTGAAGCAATCGCAACAAAATACTAAACAGTCTGGTTTCGGTTTGTTTCATTTTCAACTCAGGGCCCTGTTTCACGAAATTTTAACTAAAGATAAAATCCAGATTTTAGTAGATACTTCAATTTTGATTGGATAAGCACTAAAATCAATCTAATATTATCCAATCAAATTACTAAAATCTGGATTTTATCTTAGTTAAAATTTCGTGAAACAGGCCCCAGCTTTCAAGAGCTCTAATAGTAAACCATGCCTTTGTTCCATGACAAGTAGGTCTGCTGCGTACCATGCCTTTGCTCTCTGACAAGTAGGTCTGCTGCTTACCATGTCTAATATTCACATCTACATTGTAAAAACATGGTGATATTAAATATATATTTAATGTGTTGATTTATGACGTCTGATCGCCGCTCGCGTTCACTTCTTCTCTTTGTATGGACAGTTCGTTTATCACCGAACGCAACCATTCATGACCGAAATCAGCCATTTACGAAATTGGCCGTTCATGACCGAAATCCACCGTTCATGACCGAAAATATCCATTCATGACCGAAATCAAGCGTTCATGACCAAAATCAAGCGTTCATGTCAACAACTTGACAAGCTCGCTGGGGTGGAGGGGAGGGGGATTTTAGACGTAGTAGAACATGATTTAATACGAGGTGACAGTCTCTCTTTGTTCAGAAGAGTGAGTCCTGATTCATTAGCCCATTTCATTAGTTCAGAATGTGTCTTCCGTAGATCAATCCTACTTTGAGATATACCCAATTGTGTACCAAACGGTCATAAATCAACAAATCGACTTCCTCTCAGGCTGGCCTGCTCCATCTCTTATATTGACCTATGTGTCACGGTGGTCACGCGGAAGTAGGGCCCTAACTACCGCCGGTCGTATTTATTTCATGACGCATTAAATTAAACCCTTGCTTCACAAAATTGCGTATTCGTATTGCTCCTACTATAGGCAAACAATCTGATTAAAATACCGATTTATATTTCGTTTCGTTTTTTTTATACTTTCAATGGCCAACACTACATGAAGATCTGACCAGTGGTACTGGAAGGTCGCGTCAGGTGTCATACGAGCGACTTTTGACCTTGATTAATCAATCAACGTTGACGTTTCTAGTGGTTTACCCAAAGTTCCGTACACCTCACGCCAAAAAATTGCGGTAACACACCGTTTCATTGGCTAATCCCTCACATCAACCAGAGTTATATAAAAACTCTTCCCGATCTTAGTGTAGTAAAGACAAGTAAAACGAAATTTTGAACTATAAAAAACGAAACGAAATAGGGTCTGTGTTTTAATCAGAATGAGAGGCAAGCGGTATATAAAATAACGTGTTATTGTTTGCAAGTTTTAAATTGTGTTTAAATATTAATAATCATCTCATCGTGTTTTTACAGTGTACTTATGTATGTGTTGAGCACCTAATTTAAGCATGCTTATTTACCTCCAAGTAATTTATTATATTTCAGCTAATACTACAATAACTGCCAGTCAGCTTCATCAACAGAATCATAAAAGGTAACATACCTTTAACCCATAGGCTTGTAGCATGATAGTAGAAAACGTAGTAAGCATAGAAAATAAAAGTAGAATGGTCTTGGGCAGGGGTGGATATGGGCCTGACGTTGTGAAATGGTCGAGAGCGAGACATTAAGTCATATATTGTAACAACAAGAGGGCCGTAAGCCCGAGTGTTTTACAATATATTACGCAATGTCTTAAGCTCGAGAACCACCATTAAACGACTTAAAATATAGACACTCCGCACGTGATTTTACAGTGAAATATGTCACGCGAGTCCAGTATTTGACTAGCGTAAATAATGTACGATTGGCAAGTTGCCCGTACGATTATTTGAAATAATGGTACGCCGACATCAAGAGGTGACGTCACATTTGTATTTTAATTGGAAATATGACTGTAAATGATGCTTTCTAGAGTATATCCTGATGTTTCTAGCTTACAAATTTAGTGCAATTCATCACCAATTCATCAAAAACGACGCATATTAAAGACTAAAAAGGACCCCCAAATTACGTGTCCCCAAGCCTTCAGTACTCACAGACACGTTCTCGGTTTATCCGTTTATCGGGGCCATCAGCGCGGAGGGAGTGGATGGAAGAGCCACAGTGCGTATTTATCGATATAAGGGTTGTTTATTGGTCAAATTTGGAAGGTTTTTACCGTCAATTCCATTCACTATATGCGGTTTCCCAAAGGGGGCCTTCCCTACATCCCCACAAGATTTATCTGGATATGGTATGTATTTATATGTAGAGATACACGTCATAGTTTAAACCTACTGAAACAATGCCCTCGCCCCCATCCCGCATCTATTTGTGGGGGATTGAGGTTTGGGGTTTTTTTTTTGTTTTTTCTTTTAGTAATCAATTCTCTGTGTAAATAATTAGTTATCCTTTTAGTAACTATCGCATTTATTATTTGTCTTTCCTTCTAAATATATCAGTTGTTCCCGTTAGTCTTCATTTAGACAGAATATAAAACTTATCTATTTGTGGGGTGCGGTGGTGGGGGGGGGAACTTTCGTTTAGTAATGATTTCTAATATAAAGTCTAGCTATTTGTGGGGTGCAGGGGGGTGGAGGAGAGGGCGGGACTTTTCGTTTAGTAATGATTTCTCTGTGTCAGTAATTGATTACTCCTTTAGTAATTATCGCATTTATTCATTGTCTTATCTTTAGAACTTTTCCCCCTGTAAAATAATTAGTTTCTTGGTTTAACATTTTAGCTTTTTTCCCCCCTCAGTTAGTTCCATATACAATAAAAACTATTTATGGAATAACAATTACTGGTTTATTAAAATTTAACGTTTCAACGATGATACTCTCGTCATTATCAAGCAAATGGCAGAACGTTTTAAAATCTTCAGCGTTTTACCTATACAGTACATGTATGTTAGAGAGAGAGAAAGAGAGAAGGGGGGAGGGAGAGAGAGAGAGATAACATAACATATGATACTGTACTGGTAGAACGCTTTAAAATCTTCGGCGTTTTATCGGTACAGTACATGTATGTGAGAGAGAGAGAGAGAGAGAGAGAGAGAGATGGTTTCCTCCACTCGACATAAACTAGATCATTTTGGGACTAACATATGGTTCAATTTTATTCCAATAATTCGCTTGCACGTAGGGGTCTTTAACAGTGGTAGGAAACCGGAGGACCCCGAGAAAACCCATGAGGTTGGACAGGCGACCTTACCCCTTGTCACGTACAACCGGGAAATCGATGTATGTTACAATTTGATTGATAAAGAGAATCATCGTAAAAACGTTACATTTTAATAAACCAGTAATTGTTATCCTATAAATAGTGTTAGTGTGTTACTGTTCAATTACTAACGCCACTCAAAGTATAATTTAATAATCATTTTCTCCTATTTTACTCCCCGCCCACGTCTCCTTGTCAGTGATTAGGGCAAGACAGGATCTGTAGCGTATCAGAAATCGTAAAAGCTGTCAGATAGCATAAGTAAATTATCGGTTTGAAACGTTTTCTGGTCTTTTTGATGTGTGCTATAGGTTTAGTTGAAAACTACCTGGTTAAAACACAGATACTGTTTCGTTTCGTTTTTTATAGTTCAAAATGTTGTTTTACTTGTCTTTACTACACTAGGAACTGGAAGAGTTGTTATACCCAGTGCCGGACTGGTGTGCCGAAGGCCCACCTGTCAGGTCATTGACCAAGGCCCACACAAGTATCCTGTCCTCTCATTCCTTCTTTCTTTTTTGTCCTCCCCCTCTCCTTTCTTCTCTTTTCTTTTTTTCTTTTTTCTTTTTTCTTTATAGGCTTAGGCCCACTTTTTTTAATGAGCTTAGGCCCATCTGTCACGGACAGGTGGGCAGGTGGACCCAGTCCGGCACTGGTTATACCCGTGTTCTGGATGATGTGAGGAATCAGCCAATGAAACCGTCTGTTATACGTCGAGTCTTTGGCGTGAAGTGCACGGAACTGTGGGTATACCACTCGAAACATCAACGCTGATTGGTTAAATCAAATGTCTGACGTCATAGGATCAAAATCGCTCTAGTGACCCCGGACGCGACCTACCACTGCAACTGGTCGGATCTGCATGTAGTGAAGGTCATCGAAAGTATAAAAAACGAAACGAAATAAAGATCTGTATTTTAAACATACATTATGCAAGAGCTAAATCTGTCTATTGCAGGTCTTTCTTTAGGCCTGAAATGTTATCTAAATTATTAATTAGACATTAATTAACTGATCCAGGCCTTAATCAACTCTCGATGGCATGAGATTTCTCCGATATCAAATAGATTAGAATGGTTCAGCGATACTTTGATTTAATCAAATATGGAGGACCAAGACTTAGCTTCGATCAACCAGTACGTTGGTTGAAATTATTGCACACGTCTTGTCAAACCTTCAAAGGCTAATATCTTCGCTTGCAATAGAGTAATTTGAATGAAATTTTCAAATTATTCATTTTACATCATTTACTTTCGAACTATTATAGTAGGAATGGCTAGTTCTTTATCTAAATGTTACATAATGTATCTTTAATCAGATTGAGTTGAGATTTGCAAAATCTCATTCTTATATACAGGAGCAAGTTTCTACTTCTCCCTAGTTCTTTTCAACGATATTATTTCTGTGGAAGCAGACTTTAAACCGCCAGCTACTACCAAAATTCGTTCTGTTTTTTATATTTATGGACTTGTAGTTTAACAGACACAGCACATTGCACTGTAACAAATTAAAATAAACGATCTTTAGACTTTCTTGTACTTAGAAATGAAATTGGGTTAAACGTCCTACTGTTCTGCTCCCCCTCCCCCTTCCCAATACTCAATTGTAGGAAATGAAATGAAGTGAAATGGGGTTTAGCGTCCTACTGTTCTGCTCCGAACTGGGCTAATGAAGACGGGCATACGACATACAGTGTGCTATGAGGGAAATTTTGCCTGGGCAACGGCACTATGGCCTACTTTCAAATCGAATTCCAACTGGCAAGGGATCTTTTACGTGCACGCCAATGTATACACAGGACCTCGGTTTCTCGTCCTATCCGAACGACTAGACAGCTGTCCTTGTCAGGCCCTCCGTCCTACACCACTGACAAGGGGAAACCACGTCCGAAAAATCCCGATGAACTTTCTGGGCAATGCAGAGATCGAACACGCGACCTCCAGGTTAGCGAGCCAGCGTCTTGGCCACTTAGCCACCGTGGCTCCTCTTGTATTTAGAAATGGAACCCCAGATTTCTCCCATGAAGCTTCTAGTTTCATTCTTATGCGAACTCTTTAGGTTTAATTTGTGATTGTACGGCTGTTCCCTTTACATAGTCGTTGGAGACCAGAACACAGTAGTAGTCTCAGGTGAAGTCATTTAGTTTTTCATACCATCCGAACGACTAAACAGCTGTCCTTGTCAGACTCTCTGTCCTGCAACACTGACAAGGGGGGACTACGCCGGAAAATCTGGATTAACTTTGTCGGCCAATGCAGGAATCGAAAATCCGACCTCCAGGCTAGAGAGCCAGCGTCTTACCCACTTAGCCACCGTGGCCCCCTACGTTACCAATCTGTTTCACAGAGAATTACTAATATCTCTGTAAAAGATGACTGCCTTCAACACGTGCCGTCACAGCACGCGGCGTCAATCATTGGCTGAAAGGCGCGTGCATTGTTTACATAAGACGTTACTGCTTCGGGCAGAATGCTGCCTTTTAGTCATTTTAATACCCATTTACACTAAATAGGAAATATTTTTTACCTACAAATACGTTAAAAGTCTTTATTTATTTTTCTAATACATCAAAAAAGTGTTTTAGAATTTAATTTGTCGTGGAAAAAAGTTAATATTTGAGACTCATTAAGTCGCATTGATGTCATCCTTATCAGTGATTGTAGCGGCCTAGCGAATATTCACTCTGATCTGTGTGCTACCTTACATCAAGACCGGAGAGTCAAGTCGAGTGAGTTGTTAGGACCACCTACCGGGCCAATATATATATAATAACTAGATGTTGTATATTAATACAGAATGTTGACATTTTATACACGTGTACCTTACAGCTGATATAATTAACCAATATTTCTAATAACATTCTTTGGCATCTTGGATCGGGTGGCCGCGTGGTCTCAACAACGCTGTAAATTATAAGGTCTGTTATCGATTTGCAAGTCATAGTTGGTTCGATCCGAGACTGGTACGTCACTAGGATTAGGGTCGCTTGCCTAACCTTGTGGGTTCCTTTGGGTATTCTCCATTTGCTTCTACTTCTTAATCTGGGGGGTTGGATGGCCGAATGGTAAGCACGCGTGCGCTGTATCATGAGGTCTGTGATTGAGTCCAGGTCCTCCGGTTTTCTGCCACTGTTAAAGACCCCTACGCGCAAACGAATCGCTGAAATGACCTAGTTTGTGTCGAGTGGACGTTACCCCCCCCCCTCTCTCTCTCTCTCTCTCTTTCTCTCTTAGTCTCTTATGACTCGTGTGTGCAATCGAATTGTTGAACTTTGGGATAATATTATGTTAC